CCTGTAGCTTAATATTTCTCTTAAGATTGCATAGATCAGGATGTGATGCACAATAAAGGCACTTTAACCACATACATTTATAAAACCGAAAGAGCAATACAACAAACAATATGTATTATACAAATAAATTACAAGTTAATTACAAAAAAAAACAAATAAAAAACATAAAACATACAACTCACATGTCAATGTCTGTGAATACTAAGAGAGTCCTTACACAGCAAAATCCTGCTCTTGTTATTCTTGTTAAGTTCTTGTCATTGTCCTTAAAGTAACACTCCACTATTTTTGAAAATAGGCTCATTTTCCAACTCCCCTAGAGTTAAACAGTTGAGTTTTACCGTTTTCGAATCCATTCAGCTGATCTCCGGGTCTGGCGGTATCACTTTTAGCTGTAGCTTAGCATAGATCATTGAATCTGATTAGACCATTAGCATCTCGCTCAAAAATTACCAAAGAGTTTCTATATTTTTCCTATTTAAAACTTGACTCTTCTGTAGTTACATCGTGTACTAAGACCGACGGAAAATGAAAATTTGCGATTTTCTAGGCCGATATGGCTAGGAACTATACTCTCATTCTGGCGTAATAATCAAGGAACTTTGCTGCCGTACCATGGGTGCAGCAGGCGCAATGATTTTACGCAGCCTGCTGCACCCATGGTACGGCAGCAGACCCGGAGATCGGCTGAATGGATTCAAAAACGGTAAAACTCAACTGTTTAACTCTAGGGGAGTTAATGTCAAATGTGTCAAATGTGTGGTAAGTACTGCCGCTCCATAGTACAGAGTCCTTGTGATCGTGAATCTCAAAAGTGAAAGTGAAAGTAAAATGAGAGCGCGCAATCGAAAGTGGTTTCAATAGCGGCTCCCTGATGCCCACAATTTATATACAATCTCCTATACTTATCCAACGATATAATTGCGAGAAAAAGTATTGAAATATTTTTTTTATCCTCCCATCTCTTAGGCTATTTATTCCCTTTAGGGTTTCCTTAGTACACTTCATTTCCTTTCCGAACACGGAACTGCGATGCGGCGGATTGCGGGAGAGGGTGTGGGGTGAGGGGGGAGGAATCACGACGTCAGCTTAACATCGTGATGTCTGTCAGCCATCGGCGATGGACGATGGCATCGTTTATCGGCCAAACCCTAACTGTAATACAGTTCATTAGTCTAACTGTAGGCTGTTTACAGTTGCCAATCAACCTAGCAAGCTTGAACGCTGCTCTAAATGTACAATCTGAACTTTTTTGTTTTATAATACCACTTATAATGTATGTCATCATATTTGTTGAACAGAAAACAAAAAAAGTTTTTTTATAACAAAAAATTATTTATAGAGAATATGTCATAGTGATAGAAGACGGGAGTATGAGCTTTCTGACCTAGTAAATGATTTATAATGACACAACAAGAATTTAGTTAAACATTCAGATACATTCTGCAGCGGTGTAGATATTTCTGGATTACCTGTCCAGGTGTTAGTGCTCTTATTGGCTCTTTCAACATTACCAACAGTGACCCATCTAGATTCAAGGTTACAGTGCATGGAGCTGAAAAGAAATGAGATGTTGATATTAGGACTGTTTACATCAGAACAATTTTGTTATTGTTAACTAAAACTGAAAATAAAACTATTAAATTATTATTAAATAAAACTATTCAAAATGATTTCTCTTAAAATATTACAAAATAAATATTATGCTTAAAACATGAATATTTTGACAACTAAATGAAATCAAATAAGCTTAAGTACTAAAACTATTAAAACTGAAATAAAAAAAATATTATAAAATTGAACGAAAATAACAAAAGCATATAAAATTATTAATACTTAAAGTAAAATTAAAAAGAAAATAGAAAAATAAAAGCTTATTCAAATTTGTTATAAAATATTATAATATATATAAATAATTCTGAAATAACACTGCTGTAGGCAAAACAGAGAAAAATATTGGCTGCTGGTTGTTACTTATGTAACTTTGTCAACTGACCTGTTTTCTAACAATTTCCAGTTAAAATGGAAAACAAATGGAAAGCAGCTCACTTGAAGGCATCCGGTTTTTGGAGTGGTTGGACCCTGCAAGAGATGTCATATTTTACAAATCAATCAAACTGAAAAGTCATTTGTGCCCTTTTTTTAGCAAAATAAATAATGTAACTCACCACAAATACATCACCGGTTGCGATATCTTTATAAACTACAAACCAAGGATCTACCTGCCCTCCTATTCTAGCCCTCTGACCCAGTGTTAATGTGAACCATCCTGAGGCGAAATACAGTAATGTTAGTCATACAGTATCACAGACACTATGGAGGAGAACATGAACAATTATTAAATTAATATCCACCTTTATGCTGCCCCATGATCTTCCCATCGTCAATGGAGACAAAACTTCCTGGTTTGCGCTCTATGTACTGTAATAAATTTGACACAGACATGAAATAGTACTAAATTAAGGGACTGCAGTATATATTCAATAATGGCAATGACCAAAATACAGTACAAAGTCTTTCAACAAACTATCTGCGAAAGGAGGTTTTTAACTTGCAGGAAATGTTGATTGTATGAGGTTTACCATTTCTGCAACCCTATTACCAAAATGTGGGCTATGTTTGAATAAAGTTTATATATCTGAATATCGAGTTTTCTAGCAATAAATATTAAATACAAATAAATGTTAAATAAAATGAATTTAAAAATATTTTAAAAATATAAATAAAATGTCAGAATAGGTAACAGGGTTGCACATATAGGTAGGGATAGACAGTTTAGGGACAAATGTTGGTTTGTTTTTGCTGAACTATTATTTCATAAAAAATTCAAGAAACAAATCATTTATTTTCTTAAAATAACCTTGGTAACAGGGTTGAGCTTTTGATAAATATTGTTGAGCCTGAAAGATTCAGTCAACAATTCAGTTTGTGTGACACTTAAAAAACTTATAATAATAATAATAATAATTTATCTAACATATAAAAAAGTTTTCAGTTTTCACTAGAAAGAATAGGAGACTTGTGGTTGTATTGCTTTAAACAATACAGGAGGCATCAAACCTCAAGGATAAAGTTATCAAAATCTCTCTCTCCAATGAAACAGATCCCCATGCTCTTTCAGAATTTTTTTTATATATATATATATATATATATATACACACACACATACATGTTAATCAATCGCATTTCCATTATATTTAGTCATTGAGCAGACATTTTTGTATCAATTAATCAGTGGAATATATTACATTTAAAATACTGAGCACTACTCAATGTCACGTTTCTCGTGCCGGAAATCTTAGATCTTCAGAAATGTGATTTATTTAATTTAGTACCTCTTTTTTCTTTAGAACATGCTGGAAGCCAGCCTCAGCAGCTATTTTCTTCACAAAGTCTTTGGTTAGCCCAGCTAGGGGAAATATTGTGTGTCACAGAGCATCCTGGGAAATCTGACTGAGGAAGAATGTCTGGTCCTTCAAGCGATCAGTGCCCTGATAGAGCCGCACAGCTAATAAGATTCAGAAGAAGAGTAAAGGTCAATTTAGAAACAAATCACAGATACAACGGACATTAAAGGAACATCATTTTAAATCTCTTAAATCTCACAGAAACTGTCAAGAAAGGTCCATGTCCATAGTACAACCCAAAAATCAAAAGAAAAGAATAAGACATGTTTTGCATAAAGAAATAAAAAGCCTCTTTTTTTTAAGTATAACATTTTAAGTCAAGTCAAGTCACCTTTATTTATATAGCGCTTTTAACAATACAGATTGTGTCAAAGCAACTTTACAGCATTAACTAGGAAAATAGTGTGTCATTAATGCATAATTATAATAGTAAACAGTCAATTTTCAGTTAAAGGCAGTTCATCATTGAATTCTGTGATGTCATCATCCAGCTCTGTTCAGTTTAAATAGTGTCTGTGCAATCAAGTCGACGATATCGCTGGAAATTAAGTGTCCCCGACTAAGCAAGCCAGCGGCAAGGAACCAAAACTCCATCGGTGACAGAATTGAGAAAAAACCTTGGGAGAAACCAGGCTCAGTCGGGGGCCCAGTTCTCCTCTGGCCAGACGAAACCAGCAGTTCAATTCCAGGCTGCAGCAAAGTCACATTGTGCAGAGGACTCAACTAAGTGTACATCATGGTGGTATTTGTTTGTAAATTAAAATATTTGTAAAATCAATTTGAAATAGAAATTAAGAATAAAATAAAGTAAAATAAAAATACTACTTGATTTTCATTGAATTGATACTGAAAAAAAAAATACATAATGCTCCTGTAAACACAATTTATTTCCCTGTCCTCTACATCGCATGGACACTTACGCTTTCTTATTTCAAACCGATCTCTGAAGAGGGTTCTGGAAGGTGGAATGTGCTTCTGTTGAAAAACCTCCTTGTCCTCCTGGGATGTCCGAGCATAGTGTCCTGTTGCCATGGCATCAGCACCTGTTTTCAAATAAGACTGTGATGATGCTAAATGTGACCCTGGAGCACAAAACCAGTCTTAAGTCGCTGGGGTATATTTGTAGCAATAGCCAAAAATACATTGTATGGGTCAAAATTATTGATTTTTCTTTTATGCCAAAAATCATTAGGATATTAAGTAAAGATCATGTTCCATGAAGATATTTTGTAAATTTCCTACTGTAAATATATTAAAACGTAATTTCTGATTAGTAATATGCATTGCTAAGAACTTCATTTGGAGAACTTTGAAGGCGATTTTCTCAATATTTTCTCTTTTTTTGCACCCTCAGATTACAGATTTTCAAATAGTTGTATCTCGGCCAAATATTGTCCTATCCTAACAAACCATACATCAATGGTAAGCTTATTTATTCAGCTTCAGGGTCACAAATATGCAAGACACCACATATATAAAACTTCTATAAATTCTATGCACCTCCTTTCATTTATTCTTTGCTGAAAAACTAAGTATTAGTCAAGTCCTATTTTGTATCTCTTTTCCTGGAAAATGCTAAAAGTTCATTAAACCACACTGCCACTCAACACCTCCTGCAATATTCACATCAAACTGGAGGACATGCAGAGGACCGGTCAGTTTGTGATGTTTTACTTCTGTTTGCTTTGGTTGTGATAGCAATGTGCAAGCATATCATGATTTGTTTTCTTTCCTCTTCCACCAAGTTAATGTAAGATAAGAGGTGTTGCAAACCAGTTTGCCCGGATACTCAAAGGGGGTCATTTTGTGACCATGTCTTCTGGGAGTTATGGGAAGTCATTTGCATATGCATTTAAGCATGAATGTAAAGGCAAAGTGGTGATGCTAGAAACGGCCCCTATCTCCAGATCTGTTCTGATACAAGTATGAAACGCTCATTTATACACTTTGCTGATACGGTTACACTTTTCTCGTTATTTAATCTTTAACAAAATGTGTCAAACATTTGTAGAGTTTGGGAGTTGAGGTTGAAAGAGCACCAACTCCTCGTTTTATGGACTGTGGTGTACAAAAGACCAGGAAACAGGTAGTTCTTTTGGACGTTGTTACTCGAAGTGTTCAAGAGGACAGTATGACTTTCCTACATTCCTATGATGATCCAGATCTTACCGCTGGACATGCCAGGTTAAATACACGTCTGGGACAGTTCACCCAAAGCATGAAAAGCCTGTCATTATTTACTCACCCTTATGTCGTTCCAATCCTGCATGACTTTTTTACTTTAGTTGAACACAACAGGAGATATTTTGAAGAATGTGATTTTACATGATTTTGCTCATATAATGAAAGTGAATGACTGTGACTGTCAAGCTCCAAAAAAGCACTTCAAAGGTTCAAAAATATCCAAGTTATGTCAGTGTGAATGAAACACAAATTGTATGAAAGAGCTGTGTGAACCTGCCTAAAACATACAGCTTTTAATATCATGAAGGTTGGTAAATGATGATAGAATTTTCATGTTGGGTGAAATATTCCTTTGAAATGGACTTTTGTACCTTATTTACCGCTAAAGGATGCATATTAGTACCTTAAAGGTACACATTGCCTTTTGAAAGGGTACTACTGCCCCAGTGGCAATGCATGATGAACATATGCACCAAAGATGGAATGTATTATAATTGGTTCACTCGTACACTGTCTTTTGAAATGGTAGCTTAGGTTTTGAGATCCTGGAGGTTGTACCCTATCCAGATGTTGTGGTTGTTTGCTGTGGTGGAGGGGGGTTACTTGCTGGTGTGGCAGCAGCCATCAAACTGTCTGGTTGTGAGAACACAAAGATCTATGGAGTGGAACCAGAAGGAGGGGATAATTAAAATGCTCTTTTACAATGATGTTTGATAGTGTTGAGTAATGCTTAAGAAATTGTCATTTTTGCATGAAAACTTATTTAAAAAAGTAATCACACTTTACAGTAAGGTCTCATTTGTTAACAGTTGTCAACAATGAGTAATATATTTCTTACAACATTCATTAATCTTTTTCGATGTTCGTTATTAAAAGCAATAGTTCATTGTTTATTCATGTTATTTGAAAAATACAAATTTGATTTTAAAAATGTATAACAAAATGCTGAAATTACTAACAACTAACAATGAGCAATACTTTAACGGCATTTAGTATAATCTTAGTTAACGTAAACTAATGTAGTTAACTAATAAATGGATCTCTCTTGTAAGGTGCTACCGAAATGGTTAACACTGAACCTTCAAGCTATCAACTTAAGGGATTTAAGAAAAGCATAATTAAACTTTCACCACACTTCACTGTCTTGCGATTTGTGCCAGGAACAAAATACGTAATGGAAGATAATGATTTTGACAAAGCTGATATAATTGCACCATAAAAGATGGTAGCTAAACTGTACTTGTTTGAACCATGCAGTTATTTTGTGTAAAGTGTCACTCCCTTAATTATGATGTCAGATCAAATCATAATTTTTAAGATGTAATTTCACTGCATGTGAATGTTAAACAGAAAGTGCAGACAAATCATTTTAGATAAAATTAGATAGATTGTGAAAACATATTTTACCTCATGTTGTTCAAAACCCATCAGACTTTAATTAATCTTAAAAACACAAATGAAGATATTTTTTATATTTTCTCCTCATTTTTTGTCCATCCATCAAAAGTCTAGGTAATTAACGTGAACTAACTCATTGATGAAGAATTATTTTCTGACAGAAAAAAAAACATTTAAAAATTGAATTAAAATTAAGGTTAAGTTCAGTATCCTATTAATTAAATGACTAGTAAGTGAATGACACTTTTGTTTTTCTGACATGCACATTAAGTTAAATAATCCCTCTTGATTTTCAACAGCATGTACAATGTACAAGAGCTTCATTGAGAAGAAGCCTGTTGGTATGGATGCTAAAAGCATTGCTTCAGGGCTAGCACCACCATTTGCAGGTATGAATTCTATTTTGAATAAAACTTTTCTGTTTTCTATAAAACTTTATGGAAGTGTTCATTATAGCTTTGTTATTTAAGAGTCAGGATTTTAATTTGTGCTATTTGAAACGCGTTTCTTGGGCTTTACCCTCAGATACTTTGCATATGAGCTGTGTCAGAAGTATGTTGAGAACATTGTGCTGGTGACCGACGAGGAGATCAAATCTGCAGTTTCCACACTTTATAGAGCTGGTCTATGGTGGCGAGAAGTGCAAAACAAATCACAATTCTGAAAACAAAATAACAAATTACAAACGCAAATGCAAGTCTAAAAAACAAAATAACAATTCAGAAAGCACAACAACAATTCAGAAAACATTATAACAAGTCAGAAAACACAATGACAAATTCGAAAACAAATTAACAAGTCAGAAAACACAATGACAAATCAGACAAACCGTAAGAGGTAGGTATAGTTTGAGACAGCACCATTGGTTTGGGATTACTCACCGCTGACTGGACGAGACATCTGTCAATCAACGTATACAGGAAGAACCAGCCGAAGAACAGCAGAGTCGTGGTAGAAAGTTCGGAGATGGTATTAAAGTAGCTCAGTTTAAATGTATTGTATGAATTGCCCTTACTAGGGAATAAAAAATACGGGGTGTCTATTTACATTTAGTTAAAAGTGGCTGTAAAACATCAGCTCCAGTGGTGCAGATGGATAAGCGTGTGTCCTTGGCTTTTTGACGCGATCGACCCGGATTTGATCCCACCTTTTGCCGAACTTTTTTTTTTCTACCTTTTCAAATCTCGTATCACATCGTAAAGGCATTTATTTTCAATAAAAATTAAGAAAAATACTGCTATTTTCACTTAGTGTAAATAGAATCCATTGCTAATACGAGATTTGAAAAGGGAGGAAAAAAAAGTTAGTCAAAAGGCGGGATCGAACCCGGGTCGATCGCGTCAAAATGCCAAGGACACGAGCTTATCCATCTGCGCCACTGGATCTGATGTTTTACAGCCACTTTTAACTAAATGTAAATAGACACTCCGTATTTTTTATTCCATAGTAAGGGCAATTCATACAATACATTTAAACTGAGCTACTTTAATACCATCTCCGAACTTTCTACCACGACTCTGCTGTTCTTCGGCTGGTTCTTCCTGTATACGTTGATTGACAGATGTCTGGTCCAGTCAGCGGTGAGTAATCCCAAACCAATGGCGCGGTCTCAAACTATACCTACCTCTTCCGGTTTGTCTGATTTGTCATTGTGTTTTCTGACTTGTTAATTTGTTTTCGGATTTGTCGTTGTGTTTTCTGATTTGTTATTTTGTTTTCGAATTTGTCATTGTGTTTTCTGACTTGTTAATTTGTTTTCGGATTTGTCGTTGTGTTTTCTGATTTGTTATTTTGTTTTCGAATTTGTCATTGTGTTTTCTGACTTGTTATAATGTTTTCTGAATTGTTATTTTGTTTTTTAGACTTGCATTTGCGTTTGTAATTTGTTATTTTGTTTTCAGAATTGTGATTTGTTTTGCACTTCTCGGTCACCGTACTGGTCTCATTGTTTGAACCTTCAGGCACTGCGGCGTTCACTGCTGTCACGAATGACAAAATACCAGATATCAATGGCAAGAATGTGGTGGTCATCCTCAGTGGAGGAAACATTGGCAGATGAGCTTAGCAACTTTCCTGACTAAGTTAAAGGGTTAGTTTATTTAAATAATATCTTTTAGATATGAAAATACTCTGAATAAAGTTATGAAATACCTCCACATTTGGAAAGCCATTTTAGCTTAAAATATTCCCAGCGTTACTCTACGTAATTGCATTTTAACTAGTACAAATTGAATTAGAGAGCTCTACAATTAAATTAATACTAGTAACAATGCCAATTAGAGAGTCTAATTCAGTTACTACTAACAAGAATTCCAATTACAGAGCTCGCTAATTCAATTCTTATTAGTAACAATTCCAATTAGAGAGCTCTACAAATGAATTTTTACTAGTCATGTCTCCATTGACTTCCATTCATTTTTAATTGCATTTTAATTGAATTTTTACTAGTAAGAATTACAATTAGAGAGCTCTACAATTGAATTCTTACTAGTAACCATTCCAATTAGAGAGCTCTTTAATTGAATTCTTACTAGTAAAAATGCAATTACAGAGCTGTATAATAAAATTTGTATTACTAAAAAAACACATTAAAGATGTTTAATTGCAGATTTCACTCGAATTTAGACTTAACTTCAGATATGAATATTTCTTACTGCATGCTGCTATGTCATCTATCTCCATCTAATCATTCTTTTTATTTTCGCTCTTCTGATGGTTTTCAAATTTCTCTTTCTGCAAATTGTATAGTTGTATGCTGTATAGCCAGAGGAGAATTGGCCCCCCGACTGAGCCTGGTTTCTCCCAAGGTTTTTTTCTCCATTCTGTCACCGATGGAGTTTTGGTTCCTTGCCGCTGTCGCCTCTGGCTTGTTTAGTTGGGGACACTTAATTTCCAGCGATATCGTAGACTTGATTGCACAGAGACTATTTCAACTGAACTGAGCTGGATGATGACATCACTGAATTCAATGATGAACTGCCTTTAACTGAAAACAATAGAGTGTTTACTATTATCATTTTGCATTATTGACACTATTTTCCTAATTAATGCTGTTCAGTTGCTTTGACACAATCTGTATTGTTAAAAGTGCTATATAAATAATGGTGACTTGACTTATAGCGACAGGGGCGGTTCTAGACTCTTTTTAGGTGGGCTTCAGCAGCCCTATCTGTTGTCTCAGCCCCCCTAAAACTATCTGAACGATCAGGCCTGCTGCTTTCTCAAGAAAGTTTATCATTCTCATGTGTTTTAAGGCTTGTCAGTTTAAACATTTAAGTGATTTTAAGCTATTCAAGCACAAGACGGCATGAAAGAGATCTCAATGCGGTACTCGCGCACTGTCATAGATCGTCTCTGTGCACACACACACCTGAAGTGTGCACACACAGAAAGCCTTCTCTCAGACATCAAGCAAATACCAAACGGAGTTCTTTTTCACGTCTTGAGCAAATTCGTACAAAATTATGTCTGAATGGCTGTCAATTGACGAGTATCGACGTAAAAACAGTTGGTTACGTCTTAAGTGAGCGTAAATAGTTACGAAAATATCGGCTGTGCATTAATATAACGGACCCGTGCATGTTAATAATGTTAATCAAACAATAAAAGAAAAAGAGAGAATCACTCGCTGCTCTTAATTAAGTAACTTCTGTAGCTTTAATGGATATTTGTGTACATTTACTTCAATTAATTTAGGTAATTTGTATATTTGTATCTAGTGGTCTGTCTGAGGGCTCAGCCCCCCTGTGGATGAAGTCCTAGATCCGCCTGTGTATAGCAATATGACCCAGCACCCAAAATAATATCAAAACACTCCAATGCAGCCTCCATTCGCCTCAGAACCCAATTCGCACAGGACTAATATTATCACAGAACCTCGGTGTTCGGCGAAATATGGTAGATAATTTGCAGGGGAATTTTTACTTTACAAATTACAGACATGGCCGATTTGCACGGGATTAAGATCACAGACAACCTCCGCAATTATTACAAATGACTAGAGGTCACCAGGTAATACTAATCCTGTGCGAATAGAGCTTTAGAGAGCTCTCTAATTGAATTAAAGAGCTTTCTAATTCAATTGTTACTAATAAGAATTGCATTAAAGAGCTCTCTAATTGGAACTCTTACTAGTAAGAATTGAATTGTAGGGCTCTCTAATTCAATTGTTATTAGTAAGAATTGAATTAGAGAGCTCTATAATCATAATTGTTACTAGTAAGAACTGAATTAGAGAGCTCTCTAATTCAGTTCTTAATAGTAAGAATACAATTGCAGAGCTCTCTAATTAAATTAGAATTCAAGCTCTCTTATTGTAATTATAACTAGTAAAAATAGATTTAGAGAGCTCTCTAATTGGCATTGTTACTAGTAAGAATTTAATTGTAGAGATCTCTAATTGAATTGTTACTAGTAAAAATGCAATTACGACGAGTAACGCCTGGAATATTTTAAGCTAAAACGGCTTGCCATATCCACATCCCTACTGCTTTATCTGCGCCAAACAACAGAAAACTCTAATATGCAGATTGTGTTGTTTGTTCTCTAAACTCATAGGTGACTAACATATTATTAATATAAATAATTATAGATTATAGATGTTCTAAATTGTGCTGTACAGAAACTTGTTTCAATTATACAAATTTTGAGCATACTTAAGAGCATACTTCAACATTCATAACATTAATATTGACTACAGTTTTTTGTTGCATATTTTTCATACTAGAGGTATGATCTGGATGATTTTGCAACAAATTTTTTCATGTCTCATTCACTTATTCATGTCTTCCTGGTATACTTTTTGGTATGAATTAACTACGACATGTTAGCGTAAGTCATTAAGCCATTTTAAGCTTTATTTATAAGAAAACTATCCAGTCTCTAGAAATGTTTTTTTTTTTTTTTTCTCAGACAACTTTTAGATATATCTTACGATCTCCGTCTTGGAAATTTGGCCCTAGTTGGAAACTGTATATATGAAAACACTGTATATTTTGAAATGGCTCACTCACATCTTCATTAAAGAATGTTAACAATGTGTCACAAGATGCCATTTTTTTCATAAAAAAATGGGATATCTATACAATTTTTTTTTTCACATTTTCCACTATAGGAGATCTGAAAAGTAGATATACAGTGTGGGTTTATTTCAAATATAAATATATCAACGACTAGATTAGTTATGCAACATCTTTAGTGGCCATCCTGCAAACAACAGCGTCCAAAAGACTGCCACACTTTTCCTCCTGTGGTGCGACTTTGTAGAGCTGCAATGAGAGACACAGATGTACTTTAAACAAGTGCAAAAAAAACTAAAAAACAAAAATTCCACCCGAGGAGACATACCTTTTTAATCTTGGCGACATCATTCAAATCAGACACTCGATCAACGGTAATCTGTTGCCCATCCACCTTTGAGATGATGTTATCGATGTTGAGGGTCTCGTCTTTATTGTGTACCAACACAATAAGAACTGCACTGTCACTGTCTGAGATCCCAAACCTTTTGAATGCTTCCGATATCTGCCAAACATTAAACTCTGTTAAAACTGCACACTGTAAACAAATAAAGTTAGTGTCAGCTGTGTACATGTACTGAAATATCACTCACGTTGCTTGTGGGTGAAAGACTAAAAATGATTTCCGAGTAAAGGCTCCGGGTTTTCATTTTCCCACTTTTATGTAGGTGAATGGCTTTATTTGCTGCCACCAGGATCTGGAATGCATCCACAACCTTTACAGAAAACATGAAAATAGTAAATATATGAAGTGAAGTGAAGTGACATGTGGCCAAGTATGGTGACCCATACTCAGAATTAGTGCTCTGCATTTAACCCATCCTAAGTGCACACACACAGCAGTGAACACACACACCATAAACAGTGGGCAGCCATTTATGCTGCGGCGCCCGGGGAGCAGTTGGGGGTTCAGCGCCTTGCTCAAGGGCACCTCAGTCGTGGTATTGAAGGTGGGAGAGAGCGCTGTACATTCACTCCCCCCACCGACAATCCCTGCCAGTACGAGACTCGAACCCGCAACCTTTGGGTTACGAGTCCGACTCTCTAACCGTTAGGCCACGCCTTTATATGGCAATATATCACAATTCAGCTTTACCAACACAGGAATAAATTACATGTGAAAATATATTAAAACAGAAACAGGTATTTTAAATTGCAATAATAGTTCACAATATTAATCTTTTGACTGTACATTGTATACTATAAATGCAGCCTTGGTGAGCACAAGAGACTTCTTTAAAAAACATTTAAAAACTTATTCCGAACTTGTGACAGGTAGTGTGTGTGTATGCAAATGCTCAAAAACAGTATTGCACCATCCAAAACAGGGTATTACCATGGTACTTTCTGGAGGGAGTTAAGGATACCATAGTGAATTTCTGTATAGAAGTTATATAATCACTAATGAGATTGTTACGTGCTCTTACCATTGATGGATTGATCAAGGCGCCTTTTATTTCTCCATTCACTGCCATTTTTCTCAACTCCGTCGCATTTTTTACATCTTTGAAGAGCAGTTGGGTCACCGTGTATTCAGGAAACAGTTCTAAGTCTTGCGTAAGATGCATTATTAATATTTGAATGTCTTCAGTACAACATGAACTTTACCTAGACAGCATGCGGTTGCCCAGTGTGGCCACACACGGAACAATAATAATGTGACACCGTCATTGCTGATGGGAATGTTCCGACTTGACAAATTTAATTTCAACTTAATGTAATTGTGTAGGTGATATTAAATTTATTGCAAAGCCCTGCATTAAATAATATACAGTCAAGTTTTATTTTATAAAGTATATGACAACTACAGAAACAAAACACTGGCGCAGTTGTCTGAAATGGGCGGGGCCTAAAGCTCAGAAGTTGTTTCTAATTGGTCGAATAGCTATGATCGACGTATATAACAATACTTGTATTTTAACTCTTTATTGTGTATTTTTAATTCAGTGTTATGTTTTTCGATGTCACTACGCAGATGATAAATTTAGTAGCTTAATTCATATACTTCTAAAGTAGAACGTAGATTACATGTACAAATCGCTTCAGTTTTTTTTTTTAATTCC